GTTTGGCTCGCTCTATCTAAATACGAAAAAAGTACCAAGAATTCAGGGGCACCCTGTATATACATGTGTTGCCACCGCACACATCACACATGTTTGCAATTTCCGTCTAATAACTTGAGTTTATAGATAATACTTGTATAAATAGGTTATATAGAGAAAGTATATCTGAAATATCAAAAATCTTTCAAATTTTATTTACGTTTTTTGGTAAAATGTTACTAAAAAAAATCTGCAAATTATATTTTGTTTTGTGATGTTGTAATATAAGTTTAAAAGAGTTTCATCAAACATTATTATAATCGACAACTGAGCTCAAGAGCTATTAATATTTAAAGACATGTAATTCGTTATTAAAGATATTATACTTTTTGTGGCACTAAAAAGAACAATTCAAATCTATCTGTTTAATAAATATAAAATCTTATACATTAATCAAGTCATTGGTTACTTTTAAAATTAACAATTATATTAAATTTGTTTTACAATATCTCCAATAAGCCTAACGTCTCCAATAAGTCTACACTTTTCCATCTTTTATCTCTTACCGTTTTTGGTGATGCTGGAGCCGTCTGTATAACCGACAAAATTACCATTTTCTATGTTATTGACTATATCTGTTTTTGTATAGACAAAGATATATAGACAATAAGGATAGCACGCTACATTGCACGCACACATACGCACGATGCACATCGACATCATATATACTTTTATATTACGCTTCCAAATCTTGATTTGGAGGGTTTATCGATGTTTTTCTTGTTGTGCATTTCGGGGAAACTTGTTTTCGCGTTCGTACCAATGGTATATCTCTTATATGAAATACATCTTGTGACGAGCTGACATCTCGCCGCAACTCGAGACGCCATATTGGGATAAAAGTAGGATAAGGAAATCTGTACTTCCGTAATTTTTTCTCGTTTTCTATATAAAATCGGAGTTCTCCCGAATTATTAATGTATGTACTGCAATTCTGGAGAAGGATTTTTAATTCTGTTAAATTAATATACGACGCTACGTGACGACAAAAAATGCCGGTAAAACAGCTAGACGACTCCAGCATCACCTTAAGATTCTATTTATTTATAGAATAATCCTCTATGCAAATACTATTATACATATTTATTGATGTTACCGCATGCATGAATAATTATTTATAATTCATTTTTAAGATCTAACAAGGATGAATGGTGTAATAACACTTTGTACGATACTATCGTCCAATCTCGCATATGGTGAAACTAGTCCAAAATGGTGGCAGTCAATGTCTCTTTATCAAGTTTATCCCAGAAGCTTCAAGGATAGTGATGGTGATGGTGTCGGGGATCTTAAGGGTATGTTTTTTCATTTGCACAATAAAATCCTAGAAAAGTTTATTATAATTTCCATAATATAGGGATAATATAGAGCAATACAATTATATATAAAGTAAAAATATGTCATTCTAAATCTAAATAATAAGATAAAGTAACATTTAAAAAAATAAACAATAAGTGTGAATAAATTATCGTATTCTCTCTTTCTCGTTTAGTTAGAGATATTGTTATTACATGTGACGTTATTATACAGTTATCACGTATTTAGATGTTTACAGCTTTTACTTTCAACAACAAATTTTTTGTTAAATAAAAAATCGATTAAAAAAAATCTTTCACTCAATGAATCAATTCCCCCCCCTTCTCTTCGGATATTTCTAAATAAATAAATTATTTGTTGTAAATTTTTTATATTTTATATTGAGTTATACCTTGACAATTTAAATCGATTACAAAACATTTGTAAGAAAAAGTTAAATACGTTCGGAAAATTAAACGTTTATCTATGTATTTAAACGCACATTAAAAGACTAGCAGAAAAATATTTCGTAAATACAATAGAATTCAAAAGTTTTTGTATACAGGTATTATGAGCAAATTGGAACATTTCACCGAGTCGAATGTCGATGCTTTCTGGTTATCTCCGATTTATCCGAGCCCGATGGTCGATTTTGGCTATGATGTTTCCGATTTTGTCAACATCGACAAGACGTTTGGAACTATAAAGGATTTCGAGGCGCTCACAAAGGCCGTGCATAACGCGTCAATAAAAATTATCATGGATTTTGTTCCTAATCACTCGTCGGACCAACACGAATGGTTCCAAAAAAGTTTGCAAAGCATAGAACCTTACACCGACTATTACGTATGGCATAAAGGCAAGGTGCTGCCGAATGGAACAGTTACGGTGCCGAATAATTGGGTAAGTAATTAAGGTAACATCCGAAGCTACGTTCGTAACATGACTGAAGACAACGAAGACTGACGACGCGAGAGTTGTGCTTCGTGAATGGATAATGTAGTTAAAGTCGGTAAATTAATTCAAGTCCGAATACGCGAGTTATGTCGATATTCAAATTTCAAGTATCCTCTTTTGTGCTCTCTGAATGAAATTAAGGTAGCTTTCATTATTAATTCTCTATCTCGCGGTGTGATATAAACAATGCTTAAGATTAGAGGATGTTTATACTAATTTTAAAAACCTATAGTAAACAAATATTGCACGATGTGCTTATTAACGATTCGCATTATCGTCAAGGTGCATGAGTCATCTTGCAGCTATCCGAATTTCAAGTTCAAACAGATATATTCGAGTTTTGTTAACATATGATGTAATTATATGTTAATAAACGTTAAAAGATTTATATGTTACACTAGCAGAAACATTTTAGATCAGATTATAGAGATATAAATTGATATCTCAAAGATGTCTTTTTATCAATTATTACAGTAGAGACAATTTAGAAAAAAGTTGACCTATAACATCTGTAAATTACATATATTTTCAATAAAAGTTAAATGTCGACTCAACTGCGATAATCGATTAGACGAAAATCTTTCTCTATTTTTTATTTGTCATCAAGCGTCGATGTAAATTAATAATGCATAACATCTTAAAAATTTACTCCATTGTTCGACATATCAAAGATACGTAGGTACCAGAGATCCATCATCGCAATTACAAATTTTTCGTCACCAAGTGTTTCGTCATTGCGATTTCGAAATTACCATCAGTGTTATGTAATACACACACGTAAGAACGTTTACTTGCAACATAAAATAAGTTATCCAAACTGAGTATGTTGCCAACATCCTAACCCCCGGCTAGTATAAACGCAACGTTCTTTCGAATATCCACGCATACTTGACATTTTATATCTGCAATGTAGCTTTAAATGCATATTTGAACGTAAAACAGAATGATTATCTGCACGTATAGGTGAGTGTGTTCCGTGGATCAGCATGGACCTGGCGTGAAGAACGACAAGCGTATTATCTCCATCAATTCTTACCGGAGCAGCCCGATCTCAACTATGAAAACGAGAACATAGTGAACGCAATGAAGGTATAAGTATAGAAGTACAAAATAACTATCGTAATTGAGTTTGGCTCAATGTTCCTCTCATCCTATTCCTTATTTTGACAAACAAATTGGTTTTAATATAAAGTTATAATTTTATATTAATATAATATATTTTGCAAACTTATATACAATTATATTCTTAAGCCTTGTGTCCACGATGCTAGAACTGCGTCCGAGTTTCGGTTTAAGCCAATGAAACTGCTGCTTTTCTGTAAGAGCTGCAAGTTGATTGGCTTAAACCGAAACTCGGACGCAGTTCTAGCATCGTGGACACAAGGCTTTATATTCTCATGGGTCTCATAGTTACGAATTACATGAACGCTAGAGATCACGGTAAATTTCTGATTATTCTTATTGTTAAAACACGACTTGTCAGCCAAACAACTTTCATATTTAATAAATTTGAGGCAAAATTCCCCCGATAAGTGCCCCACGTGCAGCTTGATATGAAAAGAAATTATCGATAATGAAATATCCAATTGTCTCGATCAGAACTTGGATCAAAACTGATATCGGATAATGTTGTTATCTCGTGTTGTCATAGGTGACCAGCGACTTTGATTACAGCGATACAGTAGTTAACAGCACAACAGCAAAGCTGCGTAGGGGCGACGGATTGTAATCTGTCGCTCCTAGAGCCTACAGCGTGTCGTCTATGTCACTATATTATAAGGGTAAAAATAAATTCGGCCTGTATACATCGTGCAAGGACATCGCCTTTTCTGTCATCATCGCCGTGCGCGCGACAAATTTTCCGTTCTTTATTTTGTTCCGCGTTTGCGAAACGAAAAGCAAACACCGTTCTATCCTTATCTCCGCTCTCTCGGCAATTTGCTCGAAATTATTGACGTTTCAGAAAAATCACGCGTGACCGCGATAAAAAACGATCGACGACGATACGATACACGACACATGACGCGGGCGCGTTATGCATCTACCGCATCTATCGTGCAACGCCGCATTTGTTTTTTTTTTTTTCACATCAAAAGGGTAATTAACTCGCGGACGCGGATAAATCAAGGCCTGTTGAAATATACGTAAAATGGACGGGCAAGTGTTTTCTCTGATTGCGTTGTCACGGATCGAGAAGCGGTAATTAGCTGCTCGTTGCGCGAACGCGATGAGCGTAAAATTATGCTCGCGGAATGAATCAGGTAGCGGACGTACAATTTGCCAATTTTTTAAAGATGTGGACACTTAAAATATCACGCGACCAAATGCATACTAATGCGATTTCACGAGGAAAATGATGATCGATAATGATCATCCGACTGTACGGTAACAAATGTCCAGCGGGCGTGAAGCGAGATAATTACGATCAGTTTAACAAACAAAAGTTTGCCGAGCTGGAATAACAACTTTTAAAGAAATTATTTGCACATTGTACTTGTATCTACTTAATTAAAGACTAAAGTTTTCCCGTAGCCGCTATAACACGCGTCATGTCTTCTTCTTTTTACGTTACAAAAATTATATAGTAATGAAAGTTTTGCAAGCATTCATATTTTATGATCAAATCCTAGGCCTGTAATTTGAGAAACAGTGAAATGGTGAAATATCCAGCGGTAGCGTGTTGCAACCAGATTGAACTACAAAGTATTTCTATTTATTAGAGTAAAATATACGTGTTTGAATTAAAAAAATGTGTCGTCTTATAGAGAGACAAAAAGAACTCGAAATAATGAAATGTTGTAGAGTGGGAGCAACTTAATGATTTAGAATATTTAGCAATGCCATCTGACTTAATTACAGAGTAACCTTTTCTCAACATAGCGTAATATCGAAAGTTGTTAAGGGGCTTCTCTAATGTGACAAGGCCTTAAAATAAATGATTTTTAAAAGGAAAACGACAAAGCCAATTGATGAACAACTTTTCCCACATATTTTACTATATTTCAAGAGTGCATACAAATTTTTTCAAAATTTTATATCTGTTATTAAAGCTCGTGCCAGCCATTTTTTTGGAGCGCCGCGAAAAAAACGGTGACCACGATTGCAGCCGTTGTAGTTATCTGAAACAAAAAAGCAAAAGGATTCTTAATCTACTTGAGTGTGGCTATCGTCTGAAGCAAACTCATGAAAAAATATTGAAAATTTAAAAAATTATTGCGATTATAATTATTTTCGTCTTTTTTAGCAAACGTTTTTTAGCTGTAATTTTTAAAATTTTCAATATTCTTTTATGATTCTGCTTCAGACGATAGCCACACTCAAATAGATTAAGAATCCTTTTGCTTTTTTATTTCGAGATAACTACAACGGCTGCAATCGTGGTCACAGTTTTTTCGCTCCAAAAAATGGCTGGCACGGGCTTTAATAATAGATATAAAATTTTAAAAAAAGAACATGGCACCATTCTTATAGGTTTCGGGGTCCCGGTTAATTTTGATGATATGTTACTCTCTAGACTTTTCTGATAAAAAAGTCTTGCTGGGCACAACCTCTGAAAATCAACCGTTTTCGAGATATTTTACTCTGAAGCTATTAAAAAAAAAACTATTTTCTGCCGTTTTTCCTGTTTTTTAACAACTTTTTCGCTGAAAATGTTTTTATTTACATACCTTAGACTTATGGTAAGGAAGGGAAGACACAATTACCACCATATCCCACATATTGGGCCTTTAGATTGCCCAAAAAACCAAATACAATAGGCTTAACGCCCCTCGCCGCGGTCCCCGTGTTGCCTTAGCTATCCGAGCGCTTGTTTTGGTTTTTTGCCAGTCCGTGCTTGCGACGCACGAAAAGCTCGGCAGAGAGTCACGAACCGCGGAAGAAGAAGCCCGGTCGCGCTCATTCTCAAATCTCTTGTTCAGTATATGTAGGCGTGTATCAGATTGCGTTCTCAATCGAAAAAGTATTCGCGACTATTCTCTATGATTAATCTCGCGGTGTGTAAATGTACATATCTCCTCGTGACTCGGTTTTAAATGAATTCTTTACCGCGTACTTGCTCGTTACACGAGTCGCACGGCGGTGCGCGTGCACGAAGAATCGTGCGTACTACGGACAATCGACGCTACATCCCGGAAGCTCTCGATATTACGACGAAGGAACATTTTCCTTAGTTACTATTTCGTGTCACGCAAATAAGTAAGTACGGTGGGAACAAATACTTTATGAAAAAGCATTTTTGTTCTTTTCATTTTATTTCATAGCTCCAAAAATGCAAATCACGCAATAATTAGTTGTGAAAAGACAAAAGATGACAAAAAAGACGATTTTTTTTATGGTAAACTGTGCCCCGGTGGGCAATCTAGAGGCCCAATATGTGGGGTAGGGTGGTAATTGTGTCTTCTCTTCCTTACCATAAGTCTAAGGTATGTGAATAAAAACATTTTCAGCGAAAAAGTTGTTAAAAAACACGAAAAACAGCAGAAAATAGTTTTTTTTTTTAAATAGCTTTAGAGTTAAATATCTCGAAAACGGTTAATTTTCAGAGGTTGTGCCCAGCAAGACTTTTTATCAGGAAGGTCTAGAGAGTAACATATCATCACCCCATGAAAATTAACCGGGACCCCGAAACCCATAAGAGTGGTGCAATGTTCTTTGTATGCACTCTTGAAATATAGTAAAATATGTGGGAAAAGTTGTTCATCAATTGACTTTGTCGTTTTCCTTTTAAAAATCATTCATTTTAGGGCCCTGTCACATTAGGGAAGCCCCTTAAGTACGCTGGTACACGCAATAAAATCCGAATTCGACAAACTATCGTGCAGTGAATAGCGCGGTAAGCTCGCGTGACACAATCTGCAAACATTTTTGAATTGGCCTTAAAATTTTGGCGAAATCCCAAGTCGTGTAAAATGTGTCTTTTGTTTGTTTTATTATTTACGAAACAAAAATTTTTTGCCAGTATATTCCGTATATTTGCTCGTGCATGACAGATGTCGAGGTTTTATTCAATTTCTTTTCTTTCGTAAAATTGTTCCACAACAAGGCAAGTGCTTCCTCTTATCGCAGCCTCAATTTCCCTTCAAATCCCTTATGTCACAAAATTTTCTCGTCTCGGAACATGCTACATTCATAATATAAAGCCAAATAGAACTGAGAAGCAACTGCAGCAACTCATTATTTTTTGTAAACCCGTATTTATCTTTGAAGCAAAGATATTAGCTAATCGGGAATGACTTGTTCAATTTAATTAACAACATTTTGTAGCAACACTTATCTTCCCTTTTTTATGTTTCTTATTAATTCAACCTAATAGAAAATTACATTTGATGCAAAATAATCATTCGAGTTAAATAATTAATCATACTGTATATAGAGGAAAGTACCCGATTATGAGATACCATATCTATTTTGTGTGATTGCCGGAAGTTTATGGGCAGAATTGAAAAATATAGTAGGTTGAAGGGAATTCATTTTGAAGGGAATTTAATAAGCTTTAAGATGCTAAAATGTAAAATTTAATTTAAATATTAATTTTGCTGAAAATTAGAAAAATGTGAAAAATGAGCTTTCGGCAAAATCGCAAAAGTGTGCTCCTAATATGAGAGACTCCGGGAAATCGCTAATAAAGTGCAAAATACATGATATTGCAATTAAAAAACTTTATTTAAAGTTTTTGAAAGACAAATGTAATGGAGAAGCATATTTGCAACAATCGTAAACCCACTTATACTCAATATTGTACCTAATCTTCCCCTTCCACCCTTCCCTCTCAAATCAAGGTCAGCACAGTCTTATAAATTTGTATAAACCTTCCCTTAACGTTAATATAGTATTTTCTCTTCTTTTATTACTATACAATAACTTTCATACTCCAGCAACCCAGGAGTACCCTGAGTATCTCATGTTACGAGCACCACGCCTTGCGGTTTCACGATCACCAAATCTAATCTCTACAATTGAGCAACTCAACATATCCCGTATTTTCCTATTAATACGACCTTACTCTATCGCTGCATGCAGAACTTATTGCCAAATATTTATTAATTATATAATAAACAAGGTTTAAAGACTCATATCCATGGCACTTGACAACATCCAATTTCATAATTTCTTTCTCTGCAACGACTACACGCACGATCAAACAATGAATTTTCCACTAAATAGGTTTTACCCTAAGGGCAATAAGTTCATGGTGGAACCAACAGATAGGGCCTATTAGTTTAGCAGAAACTTCGCTGTCGCATATTAGGAGCTTATCTCATAATAGAGGACTTTCCTCTATATATACATATATATTGTACATATAATCAAGGCATTACTGTAACTATGTTACAGTATACTAATTGTAAATTTTTCCATTTCCTAAAATATGTATGAATTAACGATTTGATTTTGTGTAAAACATAGCAAAATAATTAATCAAATTATCTCACATAATTTTTGTATGCAAACTATTACTTCGATCGAATGCACGCCTTTAATGAGAAATATTGTATGCATAGGTTTAATCCACTTAAAGATACATACTTATATAGATCGGGAAGGTATATGCATATAGATGGTTCACTCAAGTATATATCTCGTGCTCTCTACTTCTGCCCTCAGGATGTCATGAGATTTTGGCTCGACAAGGGGGTGGACGGCTTTCGGGTGGACGCGATACCACAATTGTGCGAGGATGTCAGATTCTTGGACGAACCACTTACGGGTAATCCAAATCCCGAGGACTACGGTTATACGCATAAGATATACACCAAGGCTCAGCCGCGCACCTACGAAATAGTCAAAGAATGGCGAGAAGTGATAGATGAATATTTGGAAAGAGTTATGATGATGGAGGCTAATGGAAACATAACGCATACGATGAAGTATTATGTGTACGGCGCACACTTTCCCTTTAATTTTGGTTTTCTTGACGAAACGAATCAAGATTCTAAAGCAACTGATTTCAAGAGATTGATCGACAGATGGATGGTAAACATGCCTGTTTTAAGAGGAACTGCTAACTGGGTGGTAAGTTGAGAGAAACGTGTCTTTCGAATCTAGAAAGAATCAATCTTCAAATATTGCTTGTGATTGAAGGCTCGACATTTTTTTTAGCATATTATGCAATATACTTTCTTTTTGAAGTATACATTGCAATTCAAGATACGTTATTATACATACATATATATATTAGGGTGTCATTTTGGAGCAATTTTTTTTTTTTCATTTCACGAATAGCATATATACTTGCAGAAAGGTAAAATAAGATACCTGTTAAAGTTTGAGCCCTTAATATTAATATTAACAGGTTGCTTATCGCAATAAACGATATAACGCGATATAACGATCTACAAAAAAGGTCTCTTATATTTTTTCAAAATGTAAACCTTAATATTGTCTAAATGGTTATATTTATGAAAAAAATATAAGAGACCTTTTTTGTAGATCGTTAAATTTTCTACAAAAATATGTATTATTTCATAATTTTTGATAGTCGATATGATACAAAATTCATAAGAAGCAAAAACAAGTTTTATAAAATTTATCAAACTTTAACTTTGAATATCATTTGAACGGTTGAATTTATGAAAAAATGATAAGAGATCTTTTTTGGAGAGCGGTAAATTTACAAAACAAAAGTCGTTTTTGTTCGACCCGACTGGCCAAATAATAAATATATTTAAATTTCACAACGTTTCAACCGCATTTTCGGTCCTTCTCAAGTGATTCATCAAGCTGTGCATCCTCAAAAACCGCGTACAAAATATCGATTACGTCGCTGACATCGTGCCCTAACCACATCATGCACACGTAAAGCTAAAAAAGTGAAATAAACTCACGATAGTCAAAAAGATAAAAACGCTCAGAAGTCATAAAATAAAAAGTAAGAATACAATTAAATTAAATAGTAGAGTTAAAAATAGTTAAGTTATAAATAGTTAAGTTATAAATAATGTACAAAGTAAAAAGTAAGGCTTACATATTATGTGCGTCAAAACGGAAAGTGAGAACGGTAGCGCAGAACGAAGAAACGTCGCAAGCCATAGCTGCAAACACATCAGTACAGCGTGACGGACGAAGTCATACTAAATGACTGATACATAACAAATAAATAGATGTGTTCACAGGTGGAAACGAGCAGAACAAAAGTGTAAATTAAGTGACGCCAATCAAACGGTTGTAATTCGCGGGCAGACTTTCTGTGTCCTTTTGAAGATTGATTGCGCTATCACATTTTTTAATAAAAAACATCTCAGAGATTTCACGTTTCTTAAAGTGTCGCTCCTTATATAAAATTTTTGGTTGTTGCCAATTGAAATCGTGGTTATGCGTGAGACGGTGCTTACTAACTACAGAATGATTATCGCTGTTCTTCCTAATATCACAAAAATGTTCCTTAACCCGTGTCTCTAGGTGCCTTTTTGTTTGACCAATATATGCAGCGTTGCAATTAGCACAATCAATCTCATATATCAACTCCGTTTGCTTAAGATTCGGTAGCGTATCCTTCCCCCTTTTTATAATGCAATCTAACCTTTTCGGAATGGTGAGGAGAACCCTGAATTCTGCATCGCGCATTGTACGGCCAACACCGCCACTAAGGCCCTTAATATACGGTATAGTAATAAACTTTCGAGGATCCTGGGCTACATTGTTACTGCTAGATCTATTATTATTATTATGACGTGTCTGTAGCTCGTTAAGTCTGATGTTAATGTACTTGTTAATTAATTTTATTGGATAACAATTATTAGAAAGAATCTTTTTTATTTCGATTAAATTAGACTTATGAAAACGTACGTCAGATAAAAGAATAGCTCGGTCAACAAGATTACGTATAGTATTAATTTTGTATTTGAGAGGGTGATTCGAAAAATAGTTTATGTATCGCCCCGAAAAGGTCGGCTTTCGGTACCAATTCGTAAGCAACACAGTCCCCTCTCGAATCACTATTGTGTCAAGAAAACTAAGAGAATTATTCTTTTCTATTTCAAATGTAAATTTTAATCTGGTGTGATAACTATTGAAAACTCTAAGTAACTCGTCAATACCAGATCTAGGAACAATCGCGAAAATGTCATCAACATATCTTTTAAAAAAGGAAATATGAAAACTAAGCAATTGCAAACAATGCGTCTCAAGGTCCTCCATGACCATATCCGCCAAAATCGGAGAGAGAGGGGAACCCATCGGACTTCCGAAGATTTGTTCATATATTTGACCATCAAAAGAAAAACTAGTGGAACTAAGAATCAAGTCCACAGCTGACAAGAATTGAGGACGGCTGAGCTTCGTCTCTTTAGAGATGTGATTCCACCTCCGTTCGATCGCTTTCAAAACAAGGTCTTTAGGGATGTTAGTGAAAAGAGACGCGACATCCAAAGAGATCAAAACATCATCCTCCCCAATCCCTACGTCACCAATCAATTCAACAAAGGACCAACCGTCCTTAATATATGACTCCGGTTTAGGGACAGATTTTTCTAAGATGTTGTGTAAAAAATAAGCCATGTTATATAGTGGACTCCCTAAAGTAGAAACAACAATTCGTAATGGTGAGCCATCCTTGTGAATCTTCGGAAGTCCGTAACGGTAAATTTACTACAAAAATCTATGTGGAGCAATGCTGTATTACTGTTTGTTAGATAGTTATAAAAATTTTTCTATCTTACTAAATGAAAAATAAAAAATCGCGATGACCGACCTGTTAATATTAATATTAAGGGCTCAAACTTTAACAGGTATCT